CATAGGTGAGAAATGGTATCACAGTGTTGTTTTATTTGCATTTCTCTATAGGTATTTTAAGTATTTTTTCATGCTTTGGAGCCATTATATCATTTATTGGTCTGTTCATATCTTTTTGCTATTTTTTAATTGAGTTTTGGTCTCTGTCCCTCATTTATTAAGAATTCTTTATATAGTAGGAATATTAGCCCTTGTATTATGTGTAGTGAATATTTTTTGAATATATTAGTTATCTTTTGACTTTATTATGTTTCTTAGTCATGTAAAATTTTATTTTTATATGGTCAAATTTATCATTTTTTTCTTTCTGTTTCTCTGAATTTTATGTCATATTTAGAAAGTTCCTATACTATGATTAAAGAGGAATTCGCCCCAATTTTTTTCTAGTATTTTTATAGTTTCATTTCTTACATAAATCCCTGGTCCATTAGAGTTTTTCTTCTAGCATGTGGTGTAATATATGGATCTAATTTTATCTATTTTCCAAATGACTTCACAGCTGTCTCAGCACCATTTATTTATTTGCATCTTTTCTTCAAAGACCTGAGATGTTAACCATGTCATATTTTAAATTTCTGTATGTATTTTTGAGGGATATAATGCTGGGCTTTTTTTTCTATTGCGGTGGTCTGCCGGTCTAGTGTAGAGGCTTTATGCGATGCTTTAATATCTGGTAGGGCTAGTCCGCTCTCATAATTTTTTTCATTTTTCTTCTGGCTATTATTACATGTTTGTTTTTACATATGAACTTTAGCATTGACATGTCTAGCTTAGGGTTTCTCAACATCGACACTATTGGCATTTTGGTCTAGATATTTCCTTGTTGTGGGAAGCTGTTCTGTGCATTGTAAGACGTCAGTAGCACATACCCATTTATAACAGTCAAAAATGTCTCTAAATGTTGAAAAATGTCACCTGGAAGGCACTGCGCTGAGCTGAAAACCACTGGTTTGGCTTGTTGGTATTTTTATTGGGATTGCATTGAATTTACACATTAATTTAGGGAGAACTAACATCTTTGTATTGAGTGTGCTATATAAGGCGATGTCTTTCTACTTAAGTCTTCTTTTGTATCTTTTAAAAGTGTTTTTGAAATTTTCCTCATACAGGTTTTACATATTTCTTCTTAAATTTATTTGTAGATATTTTGTCTTCTTTGTTGCTATTATAAGTGGACGTGTAAATTGGACATGTAAATCACGCCCTGTATTTATTATTTGTGGGTATGAAAGCTATTGAATTCTATGTACGTTTTCAACTTGCTACTTACTAAATTCTTTTATTCTTTATCTCATTCTCTGAAGTTTTCCAGTATACTATGATATCTGAAAATAGAGATAGTTTTAATTCTTTTTTACCTATTCATATACCCCTAAAGGATTTCTCTTGTCTAATTGCATTGGCTCATACCTCGAGTACAGTGTCAAATCTTAGCAGGAATTGCAGACATTCTTGCTTTGTTCCTGATTTGAGTGGAAATACCTCTGCTGTCTCACCATTAAATAGGATACTGGCTTTAGGACTTAGGTGTATATATATAATTTATTAAGAAAGTATTCCTCAGTGTATATTGAGTGTTTTAATTATGAATGAGTGTTGAATTTTCTTAAAAGCTTTTTCAGCATCTATAGAAAAATCATTGCCGTATGATAGGTTTTCTATTGTTGAACCAATCTTGCATTCCTGGAATAAATCTCACTTGGTCATGGTGTATGTTTTTTTATAATGCAGTGTTGAATTTGCTGTGCTGTGAGCAGTTGAGAAGAATATGTAATCTCTATTATCAGAGTGCAGAATTTGATATATAGCCATAAGATTTATCCTATTGATTATGTTGTTTAGATATTCTATCTCCTTATTTATTTTTTGTTCACTTTATCTCTCTTGTACTGAGAATAGTACATTAAAATCTCCTGTTATTGTGTTCCTATCTGTCTCCATGCATCTCCTGTAGTTTTTACTTCATAAAGATGGTTGCTCTGCTATTTGATACATAAATACTATATATTCATTGTGGATTAGAGCTTTTACTCTTAAAAACGTCCCTCCTTGTCATGTTCAGATTTGGGGACTTAAAAGATAAAGGCTTTTAAAAATATATCTGTATTACCTTCCTGACAGCTTCTGCCACTCCTTCCTCAGTGCCTATGATGATCACTCCGTGATATATTGCAAGTAATTTCAATCAGGATCCACTCTCACTGGGTCTCTCAGAAGCTGTGATACGCCTGCTGCATGCCATTACCAATCCAAAAAGGGAAAAAAATGATAGCTTTGTTATCACTCAGTATTTATACTAATGTACATTGTGATTTTTCCTTTTAAAAAAATTTACCAACTACTGTTTACCAAATTATCTACATGCTCAGTAGGTCAAAAGTAAAATAGAATACTATTTCTTTATAGGATTTTGCTATGTTTAGTTTAGAATAAGTAGCTCTTTTGAAAGAACTAATTAAATTTTATCTAATTACTCAAGACAGTGATATTATATTGGCTCTGAAAAGGGGTACAGAGGAAGAAAAGAGAACTCTCCATCAACTCATTTATACCTTCTAATTTGGGACCATGTGCATGTATTTCATTTAAAAAGAAAAAAAAAACATGTATAATATAAAGGACAAATATAACTCTACTTGCAACATGATACTAGGTGCATAGACCAACCCTCTTACCGAAAAAATAAAATTACTAAACAAAATAGTAAACAAAACAAAACCTAAACCCTGAATATGTCAGTTAGCTAGTAGAGAAATAAGAAAGCTCAGATTAGAGACTGAATGAGGAGAGCAGGAAGCCAGAGAGGTTACGTGGAGCCTGAGACTGGCTTTTGTCTGAAGACATTGCTGAACAAGGCAAACCCAAGCATTGGATTCATACCCTTATGGAGCCAAGGACAGAAGACAGATTCTAGGGTTTAGCTAAAATGAAGAGTCTAATAGTAGATCTCCTTTAATAAAGTTGAGCTACTCTCTCAAATAGAAGAGCTAACTAAAAATAACCTTCCCACCAGCTTTTTTAAGCCCCAGGAAATAACTCTGTACTGAATTGGGGAGAAAAAAAAAATCAGAACTCCATCCAAAATGAAACCCTCATGCATTGCCGCTGAAATTCACAATATGTGGAAGTCAAAAAATACCCGGCAAGCTGAAGATTTAGTGTCAGCCTATGACTTGTAGTGCCCCCTGTTGTCTGTTAGAAGCAAATGCAAGTATTTTCTAGAGGATCTTTATCTCAGTCCACATTTTCCACAAATAAAGTTGCAAAGGAAATGAACAGCTAGCTCACAGCAAAGAACACCACTACACACACAAGGGGAAAAGATACTAGAAGCATCTGATATGGAACCAGAATAGAAAATAAGTATGTTTAATGTTTCAATGAAGGAGAGGTTTGAAAATAAGGGCTTTTAGTGAAAAAGGTTATAGAAAAGCACCAATAGAATAATTCCATTGATCTTTACATAAAGAGCGAACATAGATAAAACCAAACAATATACTTTTTAGGAGAGCAGTACACATGTGGTAAAAACTGTAAAGAAAAGCAAGACGGTGACTAACAATACAGGACAGTGGTTACTTCTTGGGGGACAAGAGGGCTGTGAACAGAAAGGGGCACACTGGGGGCCTCTGAGGTGTAATATTTTCTTTCTTAACTTGGTGGTAGGTACAGCAGCATGTATTTGATTGTTTTAAAGTTGTACATTTTATATAGTCTTACGTGTAAAAGTTCATAATTAAAAGGAAATCTGTAGTAACATGTAATATATAAAATCTTTGTTAATTAATTTCTCTTAAACCTCGTTTATAATCCTCAGTATCACAGTATTTCAGATATATAGCAAAGCTTGTGGTTTGAAGAAACTGCTTTCTACTGATACGATGCAGCAATTCTCTCCCTGCTTCACAGCAGAAGCATTCCTTTTGGATTATTATTAACTTTCCCTTTTTTCTATTTTGCAGCAAGATGAGAAGATGAGGTGACTTTATGGATTCTGTTTTTTCTGAATTCTGAAACCATAGCAAGTAAAAACAGGGATATAACTAGAATCAAGAAGAGGAGATGCGTAATAAAAAGTTTTTTTTCATTTTCTGCCTTTTCATGGAGTATTGATTTATCCATTCTTATGTTTAGATTTATGTGCATAAAATAGCTATTTTGTAATACTAAGTTTTATTACAAAATTTAAAATCATTTTGGTCATCCTATAACATCTTCCTGCTCATTTAAGTTTCTTTCAACCTAACAGCCTTTAACTAAACAATAACTGTTACCCTTTTAACCAAATAAAATGTATAATAAATACTTTTGCATTGGTTATCTTGTCGTATACCAAGCTATTCTGTTTTGTTCTTAAACTAGTCAATATATGTGAACACCTTTAATATTTCAAAAGTCACCTTCTGCCCTAGCTAGTTTTCTCTCGCCCCTCATTCTTCTACTTTCAGAACTATTTGATCAGTAATCACTTAGGTATCAGGTTCTATATTACTTTTATTATGTATAATCTGATGATTTAGCCGAGGGGGTTAACCTTTCAGGCTCTTTTGAATTTGTTTTTTAACTTTATTTTAAAGATGGCTTCCTAGTCTAGTAATAAACCCTGTTCATATCTGAGATTAATGGACATAGCTTACTGTATTCAAATGACTAGTGAAATTCTATTCTGCCTAGATGGAAAAGCTTTCTTAGACAATATCTGATACCTAAACAAGTAGGCCCAGAAACCTGCATTTTTAGCAAACATTTCAGATAATTCTGGGGCAGATTGTCCTAGGATCAAACTTGAAGAAAAACTGCTGTAGAAGTACAGAGACTCTCAGAACTTACTCAGTATCAACAATGTAGATTGAAATAGGGGCCAGAGGCTTTTTTAAAGGAACAGCTGACAGTTTTTAAAGAGTTTGGCACCCTGGCAGTCTCTGTTCCCTTTCTTGTACTCCTGTTACTTTTAGCCTTTGGACCTCCTAATTCTCTGGGATTATATTTTTGTTCCTATTGCTTATTTCTATTTTTTTTTCTTTCTATGAGATTTGTCTTTTTTTTTTCCTATAGAAATTATTTTCCATTTTATATACTTAAACTTATCAATCTCTTGTTGCTGGTGGAATTTGGCCACAGTAAGAAACAATTTTACTATCCCAGATTATAAACACATTTCCTCATGGTTTCGTTTTGTTTTTACGTTTAAATTTGTGATGCATGTGGATTTTTTGATTGTATGGTGTGAAATGAATGCACTGACTCCATTAATTGAAAAGTCCATGTTTTCCATTACTGATTTGTAATGCCACCTTTTTAGATTGTATCTCTATTTACACTTATATTTATTTCTTAATTTTCTATCTAGTTTGTCTTTTTAAGTCCTACTACCATACTCTTTAAATTATAGAGACTAAGAGAGTTTCAAAATTCCCCTCATAGAGGTTTTATACATTTTTTGATAAATTTATGCTCAGGTATTTTATCTTTTTTCTTGGTAATATATACAGGATTTTCTCTTTGATTCTTCTCATTGATTTTATTGTTTGCATATATGAAGATAGTTGATTTCTATATGTTAATTGCTATGTTATTGTTTGTAGCATTTTTCATACATATCTCCTGAAACCCAAACTATCTACCTCTTGTTTTCCCCCAATTCTTATGCTGCTCTTTGCTTTTTCTTATATAATTGCATGGCTGCTGCCTTAAGTAAAATGTTAAATAGTAGTAGGAATAGTGGATATCCTTGTCTTGTTCCTGATTTTCATTAGAATGCCTCTGGTTTTACCACCATTAAATAAGATGCTGGGTTTTGAGCTGGTGATGTATATTTATAATCACATTAAAATACTATCTATCAATTATTTGTTTTTTTAAATCACAAATGAGTTTAATTTTGTCAAGTAACTTTAAGCATTGATGGAGGTTGTATTAGGTTCCAGCCAAAGGGCAGAAACCACAATTATTTTATAAATTGTTAACCGTATACTAGAAAACTGACAAGAACTGAAAAGGAGAAAAAGACCAGTGGGATATCATAAAGGAAGGAACTGTGGGAAGCACCCACTGCCTCTGGGCCTGAGGGTACAGAGAAAAAAGGATGGAATTGAAACTGAAAGGCCTAGAGGAAGAGTTCCAGGACTCTGGGGATGGTGTACAACTAGTTGGTGCTGTTCCCTGAAGGACTATGACAAGACTGGCCTGATAATGTGAAAAAGCTGCCAACTGTAGCCATCTGTTGCCATTGAAGTAATTTTGTCTGCCAGGGTGAACCATTTCTGTGGTGATGCTGACAGGAACAGGAAGCAAACAGGAAGTTGAGAATTTCTCCTTTCTCCTCCATACTTCCAGTATGGAGTATGTACAAACAAGTCTGGAGAATAACTAGTTTGGTTCCATTTGTTTTTAATAGGTGTTATAGTAAAGATTTCGAAAATGTAAAGCTAGAGCCAAAAAGTTAACTGGCAAATTCTAAATTGTTGGCTTACAGGTGATTATTTTTGTGCTTTTCAGCATTTTCCAAGTTTTATTTTTAAGTTTCCCAAGATATTTTTTCATCTTTGTTTGTATTTACCAGATAAACTTTGTGGATATTTGCTGGATAAATTGAATAGTGATAAAATTTAAAGTTTGTTTCTATATCAAGGTAGCTCTGTATTTTAAAAATAAATGAATAATTATTTCTAAAACTGAGATAAAGTTGTAAAATCATTCTTTGTCCTTGAGCTCCTTTCATGCAAAGTTGGAATAAATGCGATTGTTTATTACTTATGAAGTGTACAGGACTGCAGCAGATGTGGTGGGAGAAGTACCAAAACAACAATAAAAGAAAGCAAAACAATCTAGCTGGGAAGCCACTTAAAATATGTAATAAAACCACCAAAGAGATCTCACAAGACCTGCACTCCGCTAAGAGGCTGGAGAGTGGCACAGATGCCAAGCGCCACAGGCTAGGAGGTGGAGGGATCTCTGCCAATGATTTCAGCCCAGATATCATGCTCCAGTGACGTCCTAACGTTCTGGCAAGAGTTTGCCGAACTTTAGATCTCAATCAGGACCGTTTCCATTGGGTTTGGCTGGACTTTAGGCTCCAGCAGCCCGGTCTCACTTGCCCTGTCTGCGTGCCGGCGATCCCTCCTCGTGACCCTCAGACCCCAAGTCCCTTGCCGTGGGACCCGTGGGCCACCACCGTGGACAGGGACGCCGAGCTACTCTTCTACGTGAACTGCCGCAAGGTGAGCGCGCCGGCGGGAAGACGCGCCCGGCCACACGTGGAGCGGCAAGGAGGGGTTCCTGCCGGGTCGCCCCGGTGCTTAGAGCACTAATGCACGCACCAGGGCTTCCGGTTTGCCAGCAGGTCTGCCCGTGCCCCCCCCCTCCACCCTTACCCCATTCTCCGCCACCCCGGGGCAGGGAAAGCGTGAGCGTTCAGGGGCTGCCCGGGATCTTTGGGCCCTCACCTTCCCGCAGTTCCTTTCCCCTTCTCCGTCCAGGACGCGCAGGCTGATTACCAACCCCACCGTACCCCATAAACAAGAAGTGAAATAGCTGTTCTTACTCATCGAGGTCAGCCCTCCCGAATCTTCCCTCCCTCAAAACCCACCGAAAAAGATTGTCTTTCAGTAGACTGAGCGCAGTCTGTAGACTGCTGAGTCTCAGCTCTCGGGCGTTTGGATGACTTGGGAGCAATTTAGAGTTGGGACAGGACCATAGAGTTGAACTAATTCAGACCACTGACATCATTTCTCAGATAACGAAATCATAACTTTCCAAAGTCAGTTCCCGGCGAAGCTGAGCCAATGCCGGGCTCTGGGAACTCAGAGATACTCACTGGGTCCACTGCTAGCGTGGAGTCCTGTTCTCTCAGAAGCCTGGCTCATTCTGCAGTACCTCTGGGACAGTTCCAGGCAGTATCGAAGGTTGGGGGACGTGAAGCCCCTGGGCATCCTTTAAAAACTTTCTTGATTCTCCCACACACACGGCCGTAAACTCTACTCACTCTTAATGTTGATCCAGCATATTGGCACCACTTTGCAAAGGGGAAAACTGAGGCATGAAGGGTATGGGGCTTCTCTAAAAGCTGACAACTAAGCAAGGGCCATGCTACCTGCTTCTTCACAGTGCCAGTGCCTTCAGAGCTACCTGTGATCACTCCTTCAGGGTCACACAAGCCACAGTACTTTCCTTGACTAGCACAAGGGACTCACCAGGAAGCTAAAGAAGGTCAAGCATCAGGGACCCCACTATGAGACCTGTTCTAAGGTTCTGAACTTAATTTTGCACTTACGGTTTTGTATTATTTTTCTTAAAGAGGACCCCCACATACACAAACTATACAAGTTCTAGGCCCTATAAAACCTTCCTCTGCCCCTGCTACCTGGTTTCCATACTGGATAAGATGAGCTTGTTCTTCCTGACCTGTAATGGGGGCTATTAGGATCCCCTGACAGGACTGCTGTGAGAATGACGTATGGCAATAGGGTGAAGTGTTAACATTGTTACTTTTTCTTCTTTTGCATAACTGAATGGTATATTAAACATAACCCTGGCCTTTTTATTTAGACAAACAAGGATTCAATTCCTGCTCTAACTCTCTTGAGACACGCTAACCTCTCAGAGCCTCAACTCTTTTGTTAAAAGGGGATAATACTAATTACTTCACAAAGAGTGATAATGAGTATTTAATCAGTTTTTTGTTGTTGTTGTTGTTAAGAGTCTACTCTATGCCAGGCAGCATTCCTAGCTCAAAGATTTATAGAAGAGCACAGATATGGCAAAGTCCCTGCTCTCATGGTGTTCACAGTGTGCTGGAAAACAGACAAGCACACAAATAAATGCACAATGTCAGGCAGTGATAAGTGCCAGAATAAAAAATGAAGCAAAGTGAGGGGACAGAGAGTGGGCAGGAGCTGATACTTTAGGTGGGATGGATGTTATGGCCTCTCAGAGAGAGTGACATTTGAGTAGTGACTGGTTTAAAGTAAGGAACAAGCCATGCAAACATTTGGGGTGAGAGCATTTTATTTTATTTATTTTGTTTTTTTGGTTTAAAAAAATTCATAGTAAGAGCAACAAGAATAACACACTTGTAGAACATTGAAAAGGTACAATAGAACATACATTAAAATCTGAGTTTCCTCCCTTCCCCATTCTTCAGCCTTCCAGGTTCTGCCTCTAGATGTAACAACTGATAAGTTTCTGTATGTACCTCCAGATTTATTAATTGAATATTCATATAGCACTGACAAGCATTTTTCTAAGTACTTTACTGATATTTACTCATTTATTCTTCATTTACCATGAATACTCAGGTGACAGCAGGAAGGAAAGTCCTCTGATTCATACTGACTGTTCTCCAAACTGGGAGTCTGAACCACTGTTTATCACTGCATATTGAATGCAGTTTCTTCATCAGATGGTTACATTTTTCCTCCTTTTTAAAAAAATTTCCAATTACAGTTGACATTCAATATTATTTTATATTTGTTTCCGGTGTACAGTATAGTGGATAGACATTTATACAATTTAAGAAGTGATCCCCTGAGAAGTCTAATACCCACCTGGCACTATACATAGTTATTACAATATTATTGACTAATTCCCTATACTGTACATTACATCCCTGTGACTATTTTGTAACTACCAATTTGTGCTTTTTAATCCCTTCATCTTTTTCACCCAGCCCCCTAACCCTACTCCCATCTGGCAACCATCACTTTGTTCTCCATATCTATGAGTCTGTTTCTGTTTTGTTTGTTCATTTATTTTGTTCTTAAGATTCCACTTATAACTGAGATCATATGATATGTCTTTCTTTTTCTGACTTACCTCACTTAGTATAATACCCTCCTAGGTTCATCCATGTTGTCGCAAATGGAAAGATTTCATCCTTTTTCATGGCCAAATAATATTCTATTGTATATATGTACCACTTCTTTATCCAATCATCTATTGATGGGTGCTTAGGTTGCTTCTATATCTTGGCTATTGTAAATAATGCTGCAATGAACATAGAGGTGCATATATCTTTTCAAATTAGTGTTTTGATTTCTTCAAATAAATACCTAGAAGTGGAATTGCTGGGTGATAAGGTAGTCTATTTTTAATATTTTGAGAAAACGTCATACTGTTTCCATAGTGGCTGCACCAATTTGCAATCTCACCAACAATGCACAAGCGTCCCCTTTTCTCCACATCTTTGCCAGCACTTTTTGTTTGTTGATTTAATGATGATAGCCATTCTGACAAATGTGAGGTGATATTTCATTGTGGTTTTAATTTGCATTTCTCTGATTAGTGACATTGAACATCTTTTCATATGTCTGTTGGTCATTTGTATGTCCTCTTTGGAGAAATATCTATTTAGGTCCTCTGCCCATTTTTTAATTGGATGTGTGTGTGTGTGTGTGTGTGTGTGTGTGTGTGTGTGTGTGTGTGTGTGTGTGTGTGTTGA